GCCTCTTAATAAATTTCTTCTTAAACCTACTGAAATCCGTTATGCAAATATTAGTTACAGAATAAAATCTGTAGCGTACGTATAGAATTTTATTTACCATTTTTTTTTTTCAGAATCTTTTTATCAGTACCAGGCCGACTTCTAAAAATCTCCCCTAAACGAAAATTGTAGATGTCACCAAGACCTTTCGAACAGTACTACATTTACGATGTCGACTTTCTATTTTAGTATTTAACTGGGCTTAAAAGCGATTCGATATGAAGTTCAATTGTGTATATGAAGTTGAATATGTTTATGTATAAATTTCTAAGTTTTAATTTCTTCTACAATTCTAATTGGAATGATAATTTTCAATAATGCTTTAATTGAAATTTTTTTAAATTAGATACATAATAATATTTAAAAGGATATCGAAATTAAACGCTATATAGGTACTCAAGTTTAAAAATATTTGCCTATCCTGTTTACAAAACTAAATACACATATCCATGTACACAAAAATTTAATTGAAAATAAAAGAAAATGATATGTCCTTGCAATAGAAAGAATATAAATTTTATTAAAATAAAGAAAAAACGAAAACAACAGAATGAAAAACAACAAATTAGGGACAACCCCGTTTTCTAAGTAAATCTTTAAATAAATAGATTTAATATATAATTTATATCCTCCGCAAAACCAATTTATCGAAATCAGATTAATTACTATAATTCATCATGTCCTGAATATATACACTAAAAGAAAAATGAAAGAAAGAAAATAAAATTACTATGTACAAAAAAATCAACAAGAACTTCTCAAAAGTAAGCATGAGGAATGATTCGAATTCGAATCGGTTCACTAAAGATGAAGAGAAGAAAAAAAAAAGAAAAACATAATAATAAATTCAAAACATTTTTTTATAGTTATTTTTATATGTAGATCCTAGTATAAAATATCACTTCCTGTCCTCAAAATCAACACAGCAACTGGGTTAACAAAAATAAAAACCCCCAAAAAAGTATATCCCAACCAACAGTATCAGAATAGCGTAGAACAAAAAAGTTGATGATGAATTTTCTTCGTTGTGTTGCTGCTCACTGCCTTTTTTCTTATCTCCTTTTGTTTCCTTCCTTTAAAATTTATTTAAAAAAACAAAAAACAAAATTACAAACTTTATTTTTGTTTTTTCTTGCCCAACTTTCTAAAATAATTTTTCAAAACAAAAAAAATATTCAACTAACTAAAAGTTTGTTTTTTTGTTTCTTTATCCTTTACTCTACAATATCTGTAATAGACCGCAAATTTTCATTAGAAAAAAAACAAAACAAAAACAAATTTTTTTAACCGCAATTTTAAAAAACGCTTACCTCCCAAAAGGGAAATCTATCTTTAAGTTTCTTTTTTTCGGTCAATTTTCATATAACGGGGATCACAATAAATATTATTAAATTTCTTATCATACCCAGGGACTAATGGAATTTATTTATACTTGAAACAAAAACATATTCTCATTCTATTCAAACATTAAAAATCCAACATCTATACTAATTTGTAAAAATTTGTTAATAACGTAAAAGAACAACCACAAACGTATCTACATATTCGTGTACACACATAAAACTAACTATGCGCCCCGGATTTCGCGACTCTAATAGTCCCAAATCAAAGCTTTATGTGCCGCACCAATGATATTCTGGTAAACAGTGAAAATGTAAAAACTGTACTCGTACTCGTATTATTCTTCATTTAAATTTTATGATTAATTTTATTCTTTACGTACCGTAAAGTTAGGGATATCTCGTATAATAAAAATAGTTCAATTTTCTTACAATTTAACAGATTCCTTTGGATTTTTCCGTTGTCTCCTTTTAATAACATTGTAACAAAATTAGAAGAAATTGAAAAAAAGAAAATAAACACCAAACCTACGTGTATAGATGCTAACTGGATGAAAGCTTTGAAACTATGGGTGGCATAATGTTTCTTCATAATTTTGGTATTTTATTTCAACATTAATTCCAATATTCCAAAAAACTTAACATCAACAATTCCCATGTAAATTTTTCATATAGAATAAACATCTGGCCCAAGTTGATTATGTTCCTTCTGCTATAGAACAGACTTTGTATGTATAGGGAATTTAAAAAAAAAATTAACTGAATCGTAAATTCTTTTTTTTCAGTTTCTTACCCTTTTTTTTTCTTGAATATTTGTAAGTAAGTTTGCATGTACATAGAAAATAGAAGCATAAAACCCAAGTACAAAACAAATAAAAAAAATTAAGTAACAAAAGTGCTTGTCCTTTGAACTTTTATAAAAATGTACTCAAAAACAATATGAAATATGAAAAAAAAATTTGTTTTGGGAAAGTTAAAAAAGAATTTTTTATAGCAATTGACGGTCTTTTAAACGTAAGTTGAAAATTTACTCTTTTAGTATTAATCTGCTGCGTAGTCGTGAAATCGTCTTAAAAAGAAATTCAATTTGATAATAATTGTCGTTTATTAAAATTTGATGAAATTAAATTAAATTTGACAAAATTGAGTAATTTTTTTGATGAAAATGTTTGTATAATGAGATTTTTAGAACAATGCGCACTGGAATCATTTCACGGCATTATAATTATAACGATAAATTATGATAGATATTGAGTCACACATTTTATATTACAAACTATCCCGAAATTGCCCAGAAGTAGCTGTAATGACTTAGGGTTTCCAATTTTGTAACACATAAAAATTTTGATTTTATATTTAGAAAAATTATCTTATATATTTTCCTTTATTCGTTATTTATTCGTATTGTGTGTTTCCAACATGTCTAGTAGTAGTTCAATAGTGAATATATGTATGTATGTATATACCTAGACTTTTATTTTATAAATGTATTAACAATAATTTCTTAAATTTTCTAAAACATACAAACAAATTTTGGTAAATTACAATATAATAAACTTTTCGTACTAAAACAAATCATTGACTGCTCATAAAATAAAAGAAAACAAAAGGCGAAAAAACATTAAACTGGAGACGATTTATTAGAAGAACACATTTCTATTCCACTCATTGATTCTTTATTTGCCTCAAGGGCGATTGAATATTGACCAAGAATAAAAGGAATAAAATAACCATTTTTTAATTTGGTTATTATTTGGTTTGCATACAAAATAAAGTAAACGTTAAATGTAAAATTTAGTAAAAGCAAAACTTGTTGAGATCCTGCCGACAAAAGCAGCAACAATTGGCAGGGCAACGGACTAAAGAAACTGGATCTAAATGGTTGTAAATTCTCTGTTGGGAAACGGAATTTCCGTTATTGTTTTTTTTTGCTTTTCATATTCTTCATTCTTTATTTAAAAAATTCACTTGATTTCTTATAATCTTCCTTAATGTTTTACTTTTTTTTCAATTGATAATGTAATTTAAAGTATTTAATAATAAACTTAAAGGCTCAAAAAATATACTTACTTAAACTTGAACTAGGCTGAAACTTGAATTATTTTATTTTATACTTCGACAAAATATATTACACAACAGGGCTTGCGACCGACTTTTATTCAAACAAATACATAGGTTTACAATTTGTTATAATAGTTGTTTGGTTGTTACGATTTTTTACGTTATGATTATTACTTCTAAATATAAGCGTAACCAAGTTTGACGAAAATTTTTAAAATTTTGAAAATATAAAGTTATGCAAGGCATTCTTAATTTTTTTGAAATTCTATCAGTGTTGCATGACGCAATTACACAGGGTAGATTATTGAAATCAATGTATTAAATAAAATTTTAACGTTTCATGCGACTGTCGCTGCCGCAGTAATGTAAAAAGCCCATAAGGTTGTCTACTTTGTCGAATGACATATTAATAGCGATTGGCAAACTATATTGTGTGAGAAAATTCTGTCAAAGTAATAAATAATTCTGCTGTGTTTTAAGGAATTGCATATTAATATCTAAAAATGTTTTTCTATTTGTGGAGTTCTTTTCTTAAAACAGAAGAAATTTTGATTTTTCGAAAAAAAAAGACAAATTTCTTTAAATTTACCTCTAAAAAATTTAAATTGGCTTTTTTTATTTCAAAATAATCAAAAATAAATATCAATGTTAAAACTTTGTAAAATAAAAAAACTTGCCTGAAGACGGAAAACATACATATTTATATACATGTATATTTGATTTGACATTTTTGTCAAAACTTCAAAAAAAAAAAAACTTTAAATGTCAGATCGTCTGAATTAGTAGAAACTCTTACTTTTTTTGGCATGTAATAATATTTTTTGTCAATTCGGACATTATAGCATATCAATCAAAAGATAAATTCTTTACATTTAAGCTCTGCAAAATGTTATATAATGTTAAATATGGTATAAAAGACAATAAAAAAACGTTTATAAATAGAAATTGTTGTTTATTTCGAAAAATATTTTGTTTGCATTTCATTTCCACTTGAATGGAGCTTGATTTTTTTTTATCCTTAACAGACCGCGTAGAGACTTTCAGGGCTGACAGAAATATTTGATATTTTTGTTATGTCAAGCTGTAAGTCATAGAATGCAAATTTTTTCTTCCCAATGTATGTAGAAACAGGAGTAAAGCGATTAACGGCATTGGCTGACGATTCCTATTTTTTGTACATTTTTTGTATTTCACCATTTTTTTGTACATATTTTTAAATTTTAATTACATATACAAAGAATCACAATGATTGATTGCAATGTAAATATAAAAAAAAACTTTAAAAAATATTTGCGAAAATTTTATTTTAAGAAATAAAAATCAAAATATTTGTATATTAAAGCAACGTAAAAAAAAAAAAAGATGGTAACTCTTTTTCATTATATTAGAAAATACTATGAGAAATTTTTTTTATACAGAAAAAGGAAATATTTTTGTACAATAAATTTGTAATATTAAATTTACACAATGGCAGCTCTATGAAATGACAGTTTTTCATTTTGACATTTGATTAGTAAACAGAAAATTTAGCAGATGTTAAAATGTCAGTAAACAAATTTTTGAAGTTAAAGGAACGCAAAAAAAAAAATAATAAAAGAATAGACAGAAGCATAAAAAAAAGCAGCAGCCCGGCCGTGATAAAAAAAAATGTTTTTGTTTTGTAGTTGATATCGATTAGATTTTAATAAAAAAGAAAAAACAGAAATAGCTGCAATAAAGATTTAAATATAATTTTTATTATCTTTAATTAAAGGGGTTATTTCTGTATAAATTTTATTATTAAGATAATAATGTTGGAATAGATTAAGTTTTGTGATCAGGAAAACAAAACTTTGCTATCACTTTTTTTTTGTTGTATTATATAACAAAATAGCAAAAACTTTTGATATTTTTTTTATGGTGTAATGTGAATTCAATAAATTTCATAAATCTAATTGAAGAGAAATTTTTTAATTCAAAAGTTATTTTGTTTTCAGTTTCGGATGTCGTCTTCATATTTAATCGGGGCTTATAGACAAATTTCATTGATTAAATAACAAAATTAAACAAAAAAAAAGAAACGAACACTTTGAACTTACTAAAAAAAAATTTCAAATGGAAAATTGTGATTTTTGTATTCGTGAAATTGGATTTTTTCTTGTTTCTTAAACAAAGAGAAATTGAGGACAAACAGTATATTTTTAAGGTAATATATTATTAAAAAAAAAAAAAAATTTCGAATAGTTTAAATAAAGAAAACATTTAAGGTATTTAGAATATGAGAGTGAAAATAAAGGTGAACTAGTTTAAAAAAAAATAAAAAATTTCCAGTGCATATGTACCTAGCTGGTCCATGTACTTAAATAACTACAATAGTTAAGTGTTGATAACCACCTAAAATAAAGATTTTGTGGGTAGGCACCTATTTACCTACATATTTATTTCATTAAACATTAGAATAAATCGGTATATATCCTTATTAGTAAGTAGATTTTTCTCGTATATACATTTTACAGTCTCAACTCTATTTAATAAACAAACAGCATTGCAGCAAACTACTTTCTTTACGTTACTACAATAACTTAAAAATAAAACATAATTTGTTAAAAATTTTTATTATTAATAGTATTTAAATAGAAAGGCACATATGTAATATTTGTTATACTCATGAACAATATTAAAGTGAATGCTAACTTACTTTTAATAATATGTACAACATGCATATATAAATAGATGAAGAGACTATAATAAATAAATTTAGGTCAAATAAATCTCTGTAAAAAATCGATAATATTTTTCAGAATTTTTCATCATGAAAGAATCATGAAGAAATTCATAATTTTAACTTTAAAGTAAAATTTCATATTATATTTCTTTGTTTTGTAAATAGCGATGCGTGTTTGAAAAAGCTATTTGCATGTTACAAAAAAATCAGTTTTTACTGGTGCACCTACCTACTCCTATACCTACCTAAATACGATAAATAGGTACCTATATATACTTGCCTATCATCGTATATAAACAGATATAATTTTTACGTTAGTTAGTCACTTTACATATTCCTTCTTTGTAAGACATGTAAATGCATATACATATGTATATTTATAAAGCCATGCAAGCATTCCTTACAGCGAAACTGAAAAAAAAAGAAAACAACTTTGGTAAGACAGAATGCATGAATCAGAGTTTGAATATTGATTTAAGAAAAAATCAAATAACAAAGGAAAATCTACATACATAAATGATCAGAAACAGATAGAATATAAGTTTTCAAGCAAGTTAAAATATTTGTAAATGTGATTTCTAATAAATATTTACAAGTATGATTTAAATGTGTAAATCAAATATATTTATAAATAAAAAAAAATCTTGTAGATGCCCAATGAGGTTAAGTGCCTGTTTGCGTCAAGAATCCATTGAAATTAATAGCTTTTCTGTCTACATTATTTACCGAATTCATTTAATTGCACATATTCGATTTTATATTCTTGTTGATATTAGTTACAATATTAGAATTAGATAACAAACACAATTATAATATTTCAGTAAACCTGATGTGAAATACTTTCCCGATCTTAGGAATATTAAATATGTATTTAGTTATGCACTCTACCAATTAATGTAATGTTACTGAATACGTTTCGGAAATCTTATTGGATCTAATTTTATTTTATTCTAAGATTATTGAGTTTAGTCTTCTACATAATTGAAACTTAGTTCTTCTAGCAAATTTTTAAACTAAGTTGAAGCACCAAATTTAATAAATAAGAATTTCAAGTGTTTTGATTTGGTACACATGAAACTTTTTTGACCTTCACTGTTAAACACATTTTTTTCCTTTTTAATTTGTTAATTGCATGAATCTAAAAATATATCTACAAAAATATATGTGTATCATGTACATATATGCGAATATGCACATACCTATTCACACTTATTCTTATAACTAGCACTACGAATTTAAAATAGAAATACTTTATGTCTCGTTCTTGAATTTAAACAAATTGTATGAAAATTTAATTAGACTTATTTAAATTTTTTTTATAATTAATATAATTTTAATATTTCTTTTATTTATATTGTGACATTTTATAACTACATATACATAATTATAAACGTTTGTATATATATATTTAATTAAATTTTGCGGAATAATTAATTATTTAGTTCAAAGAATAATCATGTGAATAGTTAAGAATATGGTATGAAATTTTTTTTTTTAGAAAATGTAGGAATTAATAATATACGAGTATTTGTGTATTCTTGATATAAAAGTTAAATCGTATTAGAAACTGTCTGTTTGGATGCATATATACGGGAAGTAGGCATTAGAGTCTAGCATTCGAGTTTACGCAACTTTTTTTAAAGTATAATAAGTAAGAAGTTTTACTTTGTTGTATTCTTTTTACTTTTTATTTAGGTATTATTAATCGCAACCGGTTTATTTAAGATTGTATTTAAGTGCACAAGCATTTAAAGTAGAAAAATTGTAAATGAATATTAAATTTAAAAACTTGTTAAATGAATAATAAATATTTTCATTAATTGATTTGATTTTTTTTCGAAATATACGTATAAAAATATAATATTAAGCATACACAATGTAACAGAAATATAAATATTTTGTTCAAATTATTTAAATTCGTCTAACTAGTTCAATACTAACCACATAAGCTAATTCAAATAGGAGAAATTTTTTATAAACATGTATAAATATTGTTGTAACTATATAACATGGAAAATTATTAAATTTCTTAGCATTTGATTAACTTCAGTAATTATATTGCAATAAATGGGAAAGTAAATTTCGTAAGTCTATAAAATATAATATGCATACCCAAATTTATATTTTGTCTAGGTACAAAAATATAATTCAAAAACGTATATTTCAAATCAAAAGTGTATCGCCACTTTAAATTCAAAATTGTTTAAAAGAAATTTATGATTTCATTAAGCCTTTATATAAATTTTATTTTCTTGACCACAATGGGAAAAAATATAACTGAATAAATTAATTGAAAAAAATTTATAACAAATAGTTCAAGAGTGAGGGCATATGGGGAAGAATCACAAATATTTTTAAAAATCTCAAATTAATTGGAAAAAAATAAAACATTATTGAACTAGTTTATTATTATTTAGTGGAAATAAATTAAAAAACTTGGAATAAAAACATTTTATTTTGGTAAAGGGTAAATTTAGCATGGTTTTTATATCCGAGCGAATGTATACCCATTAAGTAATATATTTATATTTTCGGTTTCATTACTGCTAATGTGATAAAATAGTCTAAACTCTAAGGTATAGACATATACTTAGTTTTGTATTATATTCTTTTTTGAAGTCAAATTCTAAATCAAATTAGAAAAGTCTGCTTATTCTTTCATTCATTTGTCCGATTATGACATAACTCAAAGAATAATTAAACCAATTTCACCAGTTCATAGTAGTTCTCTAGTTCATAGTCATCATTCTCCAGTATACGATATTTAAGACATTTCGTATACAAATATATTTAACACTAATTGGATCAACAATTACTGTTAAGTATATATTGAGTTTTGTAAAAAAGACATTGATTTTCGTATGATCCATATAGTAACTGCCTTACAATAATTATATCTTGAAAAGTATCCGGTACCGTATTGTAATTTTGCATATAAACTTAATAATTGACCCACTATTATCAAATTATAATTTAGAAAATATGTTAAAGTTTCACATGAACTATGTCAATAACAAGTCATAGAATTTATTTGCACAAATGTCATAAAGTTTAAGCACGGTTAGCTTCATTTATTCTGATTTTGACTAAGTATTTGTTAAATATTTCAAAATCATTTCATGTATGAATGTTGAATGAAGAATTTTCTTCATAAGTCCTCGATGTTTGTGTATCATCATAAATATATGTAAAATAGTGAAATTTTTTATGGTTACAAAAATTAATTAAAACCAATATAAAATCAAAATTTCATTGAATTCTATCTACAATATCTATGGGTAAATAATTAAATTAATCATAAGTACATAACGTTTTGCCCTCCTGTCTGGCTTCAATTTGTTATACATATAATATATAGCAATTTAGATTTCATTAATTCAATTTTGTATCAAGTTAATTTTCATAACAATTGATGTATTGCACATATATTATTTGGTTCATAAAAAAATAATTATAATTTAATATCTCAGATTACATTATATTAAATTTTATTATCTAATTATCTAAATACTCATAAATGTAATTAATTTAATAATAAAAATCATAAATTTAACACAATGGTAGCTTTTCTTTTTCCATATTATTGTGTATAATTTTTAATTAATTGAAATGAAAATTATTGATAAGAATAAGATAAAATAAATAAAATATGGGGGGCATTAAATTATTTATTAATAATAATTTTTTATTAATATGTTGCTAAAAGTAAATATTAACATTTTATATCCAGGTACTTATTATGAAACCAAAATAGCTTGGTGGACAATTTTATTTAGTTGCTACAAAGTAAAGGTATTTTTATGTTTCATATGAACGGAGAATATAATTCGTGAGTCAAGTAGCGAAATTTTTTTTCTACATACAAATAAAAAATATAAAGAATATAAATTTGAATTAAGTACTTATTACTGAATTATAACTACATACTTATTTATTTACATGTTGTAGGCACATGAAAAGTTCCAAAATTTATAATGGATACATAAACCCCTCCATGATATTTATATGAGTGTCATAGATACATTATTATAAAAAAAAGGGCACGTTTAAAGTTAGATTTTTAGCGGTCTAAACTTTAAAATCAATTTACATTTAACTAACTAAATAAAATGTAAATAAATGTATAAGCGTTTACTTGCTTAACTTTCTAAATAAATGAAATTATTTAATTGACACATACAAATGGTTTATTCTTCGAGAAATGTATCTCAATAAAAATAATGTTATGAAAAAAGTAATACATGATAAAGAGATACGTAATTTGATATAAGCATATTTAAGAGTAATTAACTGTGAGAGTAGACTTTAACTTTTGGACTTAAGGTCACTTCGTTGTCGTTGAGTGGTTTTCGATATAGTTTTCATTCATCAACTTATTGTGGGTAACATGGTTATCTCACCTTAATTGGATCGAATTTCTTACAGGGAGAATCCCGGTTACTTAGGGTCGGTTGAGCTTTTCAATGTTCCGCGTCATAATA